CCCCCGTGCGCCCTGCAGGTAGACAGTTCCTCCTCTGCCCCCCACCCCTGTGCACCCTGCAGGTAGACAGTTCCGCCAAGTGGGGGGTTCCTCCTCTGCCCTCCACCCCCATGCACGCTGTGGGTAGACAGTTGTGCTTTTTAGGGTTCTGGAAGCGCCATCTGAACATTCACCTTTGTAGCTTTAGATCCATCATGCGTCATTTTCCTGTCTGGGGGCTGCACGGTGATGCTGACTCTGTCCCTCAGCCTTCTCCGCAGCCCGCCCAGGTCTGTGTGCAGGACAAGAGCCCCTCCCGAGGGCAGGCAGCCACATTGTGCTGGGACTAGAGGTGCTTTCCAGCTGGTTTGTGGCTTTAGGGTATTGAAAAAAGGGGTCAATGGCAGAGCTGCCTTAGAATTTGTCCAGTCAGGTGTGGTGGCTTGTCTGTAATCCCAGCACTTTGGGAAGCCGAGGTGGGAGGATTGCTGGAGCCCAGGAGTTCGAGACCAGCCTGGGCAATGTAATGAGACCATATCTCTTTAAAAAAATTTGTTTTAATTAGCCGGGAATGGCTATAGTTCCAGTGATTCAGGAGGCTGAGGTGGGAGGGTTGTTTGAGCTCAGAGACGGTCAAGGTTGCAATGAGCCAAGATCATGCCACTGCACTGCAGCCCGAGCCACAGCGAGACCCTGTCTCTCGAAAAATAAAATTAGAAGAAAAAACTCATCTCGATCGTGAAGCACAGACATGCCGCTGCGGTGTAACTCCTCCTGGTGTGGGCTCCCGGGGCTCCAAGGGGTCCGTTCGCCGAGGAGCCCGCGTCCCAGTCTCCACCGTGGGGCTGGTGGAGGGTGACAGCCACAGTCGTGAGCGTCCCATGTGCTGGGAGGGCGCCTGCTCTGCAGAGGGCACAGCCACGTCCAGGGGGCGCCACTGGGGCCGCGTCCTCCACGGCTGTCCTCCACGTCCCTCAGGTTTGCTGGGGCGTTCACTCTGCGGCAGCGAATGCTCAACTTTGTCCAGAACATTCAGTACTACATGATGTTCGAAGTGATGGAACCGACCTGGCACATCCTGGAGAAAAACCTGAAATCCGTGAGTTTTAGCCCCATAGATGACATTTGAAAGCAGGTTTCCTTTCACATAAGGTGAGGGGAGAAGAGGGTGAGGGGAGAGGAGGGGGGAGGGGAAAGGTGGGGTGGGGGGAGAGGAGGGACAAGGGGAGAGGAGGGACGAGGGGAGGGGAGAGCAAGGGGGGAGGAAAGGAGGAGAAAGGCAGGGTGGGGAGAGGCGAGGTGAGGAGGGGTGAGGGGAGGGGTCGGGGACAGGAGAGGTGGGGGAGGGGAGAGGAGGGGGAGGGGAGAGGCCTGCCTTCTACAGTGACCAGCTATGCCCGTCATTGTTTTAGTGGTATTTGGAAGTTTTTCTTTAAAAGCCCAAGGCCATGTGAAAGGTGGACGTGCATGAACAGGAGTGAGCGAAGCCAGACTCAGCACATGCCCACCTGGAGCTCATCTTTCTGAGAAGGGGCTCGGTGCCGTTCCCCACAGGCCTCCAACATCGACGACGTGCTGGGCCACCACACGGGCTTCCTGGACACCTGTCTGAAGGACTGCATGCTCACCAACCCCGAGCTGCTGAAGGTCTTCTCCAAGCTCATGTCTGTGTGCGTCATGTTCACCAACTGCATGCAGGTGTGTGGGTGGCGCATGGGGGGCAGGGCAGGCGTGGGCAGCACGTGACGGGGGGTGTGGGCATGGGTGTGCAGACCGTGGCCGCACGCAGCCCGCTACACCTTTTCCTGCTTCTGCGTCTGTGGAGGAGCCCACTGGGATCTGAATGTTCCTGGCCGGCTGGTTCTCTCCTGGGGCCCCTGCCCTGGCAGCGTGGGCAGGGCCGTGTTCCTCCCGAATCACCCTCAGCCTCCATGGTGCTGGTCTCTGTCCCGGGCCTCTTCTGATGGCCTTGCATGCTGTTCCTCAGCACTTGAGTTATTTAATTCCATTAAGTACCTGCAGGTGCTTGTCACCAGCAGCTACCCACTGGCGATGGGGCGGAACACGAGCGTCTAGTGGTAGAAGGGACTCCTGGGGACGTGTGGGGCTCTGAGGGTTTGAGGGTCAGGCTCTCCAGGCAGTGCCATGGGAAAGGTTGGGAGGAGGGCGGGTGGGGAGGTGGACGAGGACGCGGGCGCGGGCGCTGTGAGCCATTGCTGACACTGAGAGCCACTTCGAGGTCCCAAGTTGGGAAACACGGAAGAAAACTGTGCTTAGGAAAATTAGCTGGTCACTGTGGAAGGCAGACCCAGGAATCGTGTTGGCACAGCTAGTCATTTCCCCTGCAGCCTCTGAGAGACACTTGCGTGTTCCTGCAGTCTCAGGCTACAGCAGAAACGCTGTGGGTGATGGACCTGCAGGACTTCTGTTTTCTGCAAAGCGTTGTGGTTGTAACTAACGAGCATTTCCTTGCGACTCTCCACTGCCTAGAAATTTACACAGAGCATGAAATTGGACAGCGAGCTGGGCGGGCAGACGCTGGAGCATGGCACCATCCCAGGACCTCCTGCAGGGGCTGAGGAGCGGGTGCGGAAGGAGCTCGCCAGGAAGGTGCGTGGCCTCCAGGGCCAGCCAGTGAGACGATTCCTCCTGGCCGGGACGCCAGCCTGAGCGTGTCGATGAAAGGAGAACAAATCTGCCCCCTTTTATTTCCATGTCCCCTAGGATTGAAGAAAAGACTTAAAATTAGCTTCTAAGTACAACTACAAGAGCTTTTTTTCTCAGCCCTGTGGTTCCCAGTTCAGCTTGCTCTGAAGATCTCTCAGAGCGAGCGCTGCACAGGCACCTGGCAAGGGCAGGGCCCGCCGTCCCTGCCCTGCGCGGGTCCTGAGTTAGAACCGTCAGGCACTCAGCAGGCACCGACAGGCTGTGTGTCCTCGGAGGCACAGCCCCACAGCACCGTCTCTAGCGTGGCGTGGGGGGTGGGCGGTCCCCTGTTCACACGCTGGAGCTGGAGCTGGCAGAGTTGGGTTTGGGAGCATGTGAGGGACGCTGAGAGGCGCCTCGTTCTCCTTGCTGAGAAGTGGCTGGGAAAGCCTGTTCTTTGCTTGTAGATCTGACCCCAAAGGAGAGCTCGAGGCACAGCCTTGTGGGGTCTGAGCCTTGACTTCCTTACCTCACAAGGCCTGAAGTGTGTCTCTTGAGTGCCAGATTCGCAGGAATGTTTTTTGATGTCCTTTTTACCTTTAATCCCCTGAAAACATTGTGGGGATTAAAGGTATGTTTTCTGTTTAAGAAAAGAGGAAGGGAAAGTCCATGGGCCTGCTGGGAGCAGTGTGGAAGCCAGGAAGGCCCGAGGTGGGCAGGGTACAGCTCATACCCCCAGCTCCGCTTTATTCCAGCACCTGGCGGAGCATGTGGACGCTGCACAGCTCGTGTCCGGCTTCGAGGCCACCATCAACAAGTTTGACAAGAACTTCTCAGCCCACCTGCTGGACCTCCTAGCCCGGCTGAGCATCTACAGCACCAGTGACTGTGAGCACGGCATGGCCAGCGTCATCTCCAGGTGGGAGGCCACCGCCCAGCTGTGCCCAGCACCTGGTCCCATGGCCCAGCGCCTGCCCGCCCCACCCAGCGCCTGCCCACCCCCCCACACCCGC